TAAAAAATCGACTTGTGACGAGATGAATACAAAAGTAATTTATGATACAAATGATAAATTATGCAAGACATCACACATTATTCATGCATGTTAACATATCCCTAATTGAATTGTTTAATAGGCATTTCTTAGAAGCCGACGGCTGACAACGTATACACAATTTATGGATAATAACAGTAAAATAAAGACGTTTGTATCCATAAATTGTTACTCTTTTGATATCCCTACTCAGCTGGAATGTTCACAAAGCATACCTGTTCTCTCTAAGATAGTATAAGACAGTTGATGTCATACTTGTCACTCAACAAACATTAATGACAGATGGTACGCCGGAACAGCAAGCCACGCGAGATGGGTGACGTAGGTTTTAGCGAATGTCTTTTGTAACATTACGAACCCTACTAGGAACATATCTTCATATATACAATCCTTGCCTCTCTCTGACAGTGACACATTGTCTTTGTTACTTCAATTATGACCAACCTGTCCCTGTCTTTATAGCAAGTCGTTGCGGCGTACACGGAACAGGACGATCATGACGTATAAATTAGCACACCTAATTGGAGAAAGTTATGATCAAAAATAGAAAGAATAATGTGCCCAGGAGTCGACTATTTGATATTCAGGAGAGTTGTTTTTGTTCGTTTCTTTTCTTTTCTTTTTCGTTTTTGAAATAATTTCCGAATTATTTCCGAATAATTTCCGAAAATGTTTGAATTAATTATTTACCCTCACAAAACAAAAGAATGTTTCTTGACATACTGGTTGTTCTGAAGTAATGTGCATGAATAATTAATAATGAACGTGTTTAGCTCCTCTTGTTGGAAAAGGTATGTCTTAAAATAATTATGAAATATGTCTTGAAATGACGGATGTCTTGAACAAGCTATGTCTTGACATAACGTTTGTCTTGACACAAGCTTTTAGGTATGTCTTGAATTTCGCAGGAATCTTTAAAAAGGTATCTCGGTCAAAATTAATTGATAAAGTTTAAATCGATAAAAAGGAAAATGCAATTCTTATGTTAGCATGACCTATTGAACAACCTCGCGTGTAAATTAATTTACTCGGGGGTGGGGGGGAGGGGGGGAGGGGGGAGGGGGGGAGGGGGCACGGGTGGCCCAGTCGTCTAAGGCACCGCGATTCGCTGTGCAGAGTTGCGTCCCTTGGGTACGCCAGAAACCTATGAGTGTGGGTTCGAATCCCGGTTCGCCCCAATTATGTTTCTAGGTTTGTCAGCACCATACCCGTGCTCGTGGGTTTCACCGAAGTGGTAAACGTCTGAGACCTGCATCACTTCGGGCTTTCCTCCCAAATTAAGCTGACACGCCGTGATTTAACTGGAATAATGTTAAAAGCGGCGTTAAACCCAACTCACTCACTCACTAATATACTCGGATTTTGTATTTGGAAGCACTATATTGACATTTGTTTTATATTCGTGCCACCGGTGGGGCCGGATACGCTCACCATTTCGCGAACATCTGGTATCATCGTTATTTGATAGTAATTCGTTAATACATGCTCATGATACAGTCGGAATTGTACAATAAGCTCTGCTGTTAGTGCATATTTCTTATGATAATGGAAATGATTTGTGTCGCTGTTGTATATCTGATATTCTTATGAATCAGTAATACATCACGTCCAGATTGACAACAGTCATGACAGTTATGGACACACTTGATTTATTATGGTATTCCAGTGTTACTCACCCTCCTATCAGACCTACTGAGTTTTTATCTGTCATTCCTTATAGTTAGGGAGCCTGCCATCGGTTAGAGCTTCATAGCTTATTCATAATTGACTTCCAATGATGTTCTTATTTTTTTATAATAGAAAGTGAGTGAGTGAGTTGGGTTTAACGCCGCTTTTAACAGTATTCCAGTTATATCACGGCGTGTCAGCTTAATGTGGGAGGAAAGCCCGAAGTGATGCAGGTCTTAGACGTTTACCAATTCGGTGAAACCGACGGAAAACCATGGTGCTGACAAACCTAGAAACATGATCGGGGCGAACCCACAATCATAGGTTACTGGCGTGCCCAAGGGACGCAACACTGCACAGCGAATCGCGGCGCCTTTGTATAATAGAGACCAGATAGTTATGATAACATTACTGTGTTATCAACTGTGTGACATCGGCTTAAAATGTGTCCTTCTTTCTTTAAGGTTATGCATATATAAAGAATCTTAACCACAGGAAATGTATCTAGAAATGATATCGAATAGTGAAATAAAGTTGTAAGTATTGAGACTATGAGTTGAATTTCATCAAGTACTTTCTGTCATTCCTATACAAGCTACATACTACATAAAAGAGTATACCCAATGTGATGTCATTACGAAAACGTAGACCTATTTTGCAGACGGACGACTGAATAGTTGAAATTAACGAATCCAAAAGTCAATTGGGTTTAACACCACTTAAAGTTAAATGGATAACCCAAAATGGCCGAGCTAATGAACACTTAACATTTTCGTGAAATCCACGAGCATTGGTAAGATGCCGACAGACCAAAATCATAATCATTGGAATCTTGGATTCGAACAAAACGACTAGCCTGTCCCCACTAAAGGATGCAACTCTTCAAAACCACGTATTAGCGCCTTTGAACAGTTTGTAAGGAAAATGTAACCTATTAAACTGAGGCATGTTGACAGAACTGACCTGAATCAGAACTGCCTGGCGTTACTACATGAGGCTCGTTGGTTGTCACGTAGAACATGCCGACCATCGCCAGCAACCGGTTGTACAGACGTTTAACACTGCCTTGTACTGTCGTAGCCGGTGGAGTTGCTTGAGTAGTGTTGGTGTCTGCAGAAAGTGGCTCAATAGAAAATAGTTCTTCTTTAATCATTTTAAAGAAGATGTTATTTTCCCCACGAACAGCAAGCATCAAGCATTATCCAAGCATTATCACCAAGGAGGACACCAGCTATGTGTTTTACGCATTGTATCCATGTTGTGAATGGAACCCAGGCCTTCGGTGTGACGAGCGAAAGCTACCCTACAGCCCGTTGGTATTATTCAGTATTTGTATTTAACACAGGCAGTAGTAGAAATGGCGGTATTAGATGGCGGAATTAGTAATTGAAGCAGTAAATGTGGTCACGGTTGCAGTTACAGTAGTAACAGCAGCAATAGTTGTTGTCACGGTGGAAGTTACAGTAGTTACAGAAGCAGTAGTTGTAGTCACGGTGGTAGTTATAGAAGTAGCAGAAGCAGTAGTTGTAGTCACGGTGGTAGTTACAGTTGTAACAGAAGCAGTAGTTGTTGTCACGGTGGTAGTTACAGTTGTAACAGAAGCAGTAGTTGTTGTCAAGGTGGAAGTTACAGTAGTTACAGAAGCAGTATTTGTAGTCACGGTGGTAGTTATAGAAGTAGCAGAAGCAGTAGTTGTAGTCACGGTGGTAGTTACAGTAGTAACGGAAGCAGTAGTTGTAGTCATGGTGGTAGTTATAGAAGTAGCAGAAGCAGTAGTTGTGGTCACGGTGGTAGTTACAGTAGTAACGGAAGCAGTAGTTGTCGTCACGGTGGTAGTTGCAGTAGTAACAGAAGCAGTAGTTGTAGTCACGGTGGTAGTTATAGAAGTAGCAGAAGCAGTAGTTGTGGTCACGGTGGTAGTTACAGTAGTAACGGAAGCAGTAGTTGTCGTCACGGTGGTAGTTGCAGTAGTAACAGAAGCAGTAGTTGTAGTCACGGTTGTAGTTACAGTAGTAAAGAAGCAGTAGTTTTCGTCACGGTGGTAGTTACAGTTGTAACAGAAGCAGTAGTTGTCATCACGGTGGTAGTTACAGTAGTAAAGAAGCAGTAGTTGTCGTCACGGTGGTAGTTACAGTAGAAGCAGAAGCAGTAGTTGTAGTCACGGTGGTAGTTACAGTAGTAGCAGAAGCAGTAGTTGTGGTCACGGTGGTAGTTACAGTTGTAACAGAAGCAGTAGTTGTCGTCACGGTGGTAGTTACAGTAGTAACAGAAGCAGTAGTTGTCGTCACGGTTGTAGTTACAGTAGTAGCAGAAGCAGTAGTTGTCGTCACGGTGGTAGTTACAGTAGTAACGGAAGCAGTAGTTGTGGTCACGGTGGTAGTTGCTGTAGTAGCAGAAGCAGTAGTTGTGGTCACAGTGGTAGTTATAGTAGTAGCAGAAGCAGTAGTTGTCGTCGCGGTGGTAGTTACAGTAGTAACAGAAGCCGTAGTTGTCGTCGCGGTGGTAGTAGATACAATAAGCAAACGCCAGGCTAATGCACCACCCCTTGGCAGCAATAAGCAAAACACCATGCCATATTTGCAGTTGATAACTTTAGTGATGTGCCTGAGCGGTATTAGTGACAACAAACGGACATTGCACAAACATGAATTCCTCTCTTATGTTTTAAAGGTAAAAAATGCAATCACAATGTTGATCTTCAGTTGTGTGAAGTAACTGCACATACAGATGACACAGTGTGTACATTCAAGATGACGTGTTCCACCTGACAGATATATGTCTGTGTGCCAAGGAACATGTATGTTTCAGAGTGACGTCGTGTTGAGGTTTAAGATAATTACACCTTCCAATGATGCAAAGAAGTATTATGTTTGTAAATAATGAATCAATGCTGTGTCCGGAATGACCACATACTTGAATTGGATTGGTATTACTCATGAAAGCGCCACATACAGAGCGTGTATAAGAAAATTGTTTACTCAGAATTTGCTCTTCTACTGCTTTCTGTCACAATCGTTATATATTCCAGTTATATCACAGTGTGTCAGACTGATGTGATGCCACTGTGGTGAAACCAAAGAACGCAAACCGAGAATATAATCTATAATCTCCGGGGATGTTATAAGACATGAAGCAATACTTCAGTTCCTATAACCCATGTTCACAGGGGCTTTTTATCAAATAGTTTCTCAGCATTGACATAAAAAATAACTATTAAAAAATGTTATAAAGTAAACCTGTATTTCCTATTCATATTATATATCCTGTAATAGTAAGTAGAACTGACACAACGATTTTAAATATGTCATTTTATTTGGTCTTTGAATAAGCAAGTTCATAAATATTCTACTAAAACAATAGATTACTAATAAGATAAAAATATGTACATGCATCAAGAATTATATTCAGCCGAAGGCATCTCATGTACACCTGTCTTCACCATGTTTGTTCATGTATTTTGATATATTTCACTCATTGTTTGTGCATAATTGATAGATTGGTCTATACCGATCTGTGATAACAAATTGGGACAGACGTGCCTTCTTCATATATCGGCTTGTCTTGAAACCAGAGCTGGTGACTATTGCAATAAGACGCCGTTAAAACGTTATATCACTGTTTACAGTAACCCTGACGTTGTGAATCATTGATAAATGATTAGGTAAAAATGTATCTTATGTTTGAAGTCGAAAAACTACAAGATATATATAAATATAAATATATTCTAAGGTCAATACTGATATTGTTTTGATTTGAACAACCTTTTGCAATTTGTTTCTTCAAACAAACATCAATGTATTTAATATTTTTATCAATCACGTTTGTTACATAGTCTTAATGAAATCTAAGTTTTCGGTGTGGTGTACATTGCTATCGTACGTCTCTGCATTAAATAAGTGTCTCATGTAAACGATACATATCATTTCTGCGTAATTTGACTCTTGAATCCTTGCCGAAAAGAACTTGATCATAAAGTGTCATGATGAATAAACAAACAAATGAAGCTTTTGAATAATCTAATTCAAGCTCGATGTCGCTGCAAGTTTTTCGTAACTAAGCCCTCTTTTATGCAACGTACTTTACGTTGGTCAAAATGGATAGAAACATCTATTGAAAGGAAATGTAGGCAATTAACGACAATGCTTTACAAAGTTTGCTTTGTGACCGTCGTGAAGTATCCTTAAAAAACAAAATGGGTGAATATTGTTCCCTGTTAAATGTTTCAAAATCATGAGGATGCCACAACCAAATGTCTGTAACACAGCCAGGAGATAAATATAAAAAACATGTGTTTGTTCTCGAAAGCTACAGAAGAGTTCTTCCAGGAGATTGTAGAAACATATTAAGTTGTCAAATGTTGGGTATGTGTTAACGCTCTAGCTGATACAACTGACATCCACTCCGTCTTGAAGTCAAGGTATTCTCCAGAGGGACTTCTTAACGTTGGTATCAACTCCGGGCTCTGTTGAAGATAACAATGCTTAGATTCATCCATATGATCCAAAAGCTCCTGACACGTCCTAATACGGGTTTATATAATTCTATATTAACCTATATATGATAAAATATGTATATTCTTCATACACGTATAAAAACATATCGTTTTGAAAAGTGTGTTACAGAAAGAAAGTTGTGACATCCACATTTGGGTACCATGTTTGTTGTTAAGAACAAGCGGTTTTCACTTACATGACAAGGAACATGTATTTGTAAAAGCAATAATATCATATAAATGATATTAGACCCACAATTTGCACTTTTTTGTTTTTCTGTAAAAAGCATGTTATTTGTAATCAAAGCTTTTTAGGAATAGTGAAGATGATAATTTTGCATTATATCATATCTTACTTGTGTGTGGTCCAGCAACTGTGTTGGCCGCCTTGGTTGCAGCTATGTAGTCCACAGGCGTCTGTTCGTACACTTGGGTTGGCATGTTGGTGCCACTAATATCGAAATGAACCACGTCTGTAGAAGGTCCATTACCTGGCACTTCTGGTACGACTGGAACCTCTTGAGGATGTCCACTAACTGGAATGGTATCTTGAATAGTTGACCTACTTCCATGAACTTTGCTATTATTAATTGCTCTAACTATGTGAGGTAGTCCATTAACCGGTAGGATGTCTTGAACAGACGTTTCACTTAAAGGAACAGTATTCTGGCTAGTTGTCCCAAATATGTGAGGTTGTTCATTAACTGGAAGGATGTCTGGAACATTTGCACCACTGACAGGAACAGCTCCTTGATAAGATGTTCCAACTGTGTGAGATTGTCCACCAACTGGAAGGATATCTGGTAAATATGCACCACTGACAGGAACATCTCCTTGATTAGATGTTAAAACTGTGTGAGATTGTCCACTAACTGGAAGGATGTCTGGTAAATATGCACCACTGACAGGAACAGCTCCTTGATTAGATGTTCCAACTTTGTGAGATTGTTTATCAGCTGGAAGGATGTCTGGTAAATATGCACCACTGACAGGAACAGCTCCTTGATTAGATGTTAAAACTGTGTGAGATTGTCCACTAACTGGAAGGATATCTGGTAAATATGCACCACTGACAGGAACAGCTCCTTGATTAGATGTTCCAACTGTGTGAGACTGTTTATCAACTGGAAGGGTATCTGGTAAATAAGAACCACTGACAGGAACAGCTCCTTGATTAGACGTTCCAACTGTGTGAGATTGTTTATCAACTGGAAGGATGTCTGGTAAATATGCACCACTGACAGGAACAGCTCCTTGATTAGATGTTCCAACTGTGTGAGATTGTTTATCAACTGGAAGGATGTCTGGTAAATATGCACCACTGACAGGAACAGCTCCTTGATTAGATGTTCCAACTGTGTGAGATTGTTTATCAACTGGAAGGATGTCTGGTAAATATGAACCATTGACAGGAACAGCTCCTTGATTAGATGTTCCAACTGTGTGAGATTGTCCATTAACTGGAAGGGTATCGGGTAAATATGCACCACTGACAGCAACAACTCCTTGGCTAGTTGTTCCAACCGTGTGAGATTGTTTATCAACTGGAAGGATGTCTGGTAAATATGCACCACTGACAGGAACAGCTCCTTGATAAGATGTTCCAACTGTGTGAGATTGTCCACTAACTGGAAGGATGTCTGGAACATTTGCACCACTGACAGGAACAGCTCCTTGATAAGATGTTCCAACTGTGTGAGATTGTTTATCAACTGGAAGGATGTCTGGCAAATATGAACCATTGACAGGAACAGCTCCCTGATTAGATGTTCCAATTGTGTGAGATTGTCCATTAACTGGAAGGGTATCTGGTACAAATGCACCCCTGACAGGAACAACTACTTGGATAGTTGTTCCAACTGTGTGAGATTGTTTATCAACTGGAAGGATGTCTGGTAAATACGCAGCACTGACAGGAACAGCTCCTTGATTAGATGTTCCAACTGAATGAGATTGTCCATTAACTGGAAGGGTATCTGGTACAAATGCACCACTGACAGAAACAGCTCCTTGGCTAGTTGTTCCAACTGTGTGAGATTGTTCATTAACCGAAAGGGTGTCTAAAACAGATGTCCCACTAACAGGAACAGCCTCTTTGCTACTTACTCCAGCATCCCCTTGGCTAGTTGCTCCAACTATTTGAGATTGTCCATCAACTGGAAGGATATCTGAAACATATGCCCCGCTGTCAGGAACAGGCCCTTGGCTTGCTATTCCACCAACTTGGAAGCTGTTTTGAAACGATGCTCCACCGACAGGAACTGTGCCTTGAATAGGTGAACCAGCTATTTGAGATTGTCCAGCAGCTGACAGCATATCTGGAACATATGTTTCACTAACTGGCATATTCGTTTGACCAGGTTTTACAACAGTTTCAGATTGTCCATGAGCTGGCAGCATATCCTGAAAGGATGTTCCACCAGGAAGTACTGCCTCATGGTGAGGTGTTCCCGTGAGTCCACCCAAAGAAAGGTTGTCTTGCATACCTGCCGAACTGGCAGGAAGGTTGCTTGTTCCAGCTGGTTGACGACCTCCAGCTTCAGCTAGATGTACTACGTTTGGCATAGCTTCAGCTACTGTTCTGCTAGGCGGTGCTACTGGTTGACCGCCGTTGGTTTGCTTAGAAGATGGGGCACTGAGAGGCTCAAAACTCTGAAGAAGATTATTCAGTTGAACGTCAGCGGAAGCGGTAGGTACCCCGGGATCTGTTCCTCCTATTAGTGTATATTGAGGTGGAACTGCGTTCGAGAGTGGCGATGCTGAAAGAAATAGTGACAATTGTTTAGCGGTACATCTACCATCTTAAACATGGCAATAAAATGAATACAGCTTCATTAAAGACATGTTTCAATGGTAAAAGCATCACATACATCGCTTTGGTTTTACAAGAATAATGATAACGAAATGATAACAACATATTCACTTCCCTCATAATGATTATCAACAGAATGTATATCTCGTAAGATTTACCTGAGTGTTGAAAAGCAACAGATTCTGTACTTGTTTTGTCGTAGGCAGAAGAGACAGGGGCGTTGTGTGTTGGTGGGGATGGATGATGGCCAAAGTCAGTTGGTATTGGTTGATTGGTAGGTGCTGTTTGAGTTGCAGGGTCAACTTTTACAGGGAATCTGAGTGACTGCATCCTTTTGAATGCTGTTTCAAAAGCTTCTGCGAGCAGCTGTGATTCTGACATTCCGGAGTTTTGTGTCAACATCACTCTGTCAATAGCTTGCATTAAAAGTCCATCCAAAGAGGGATCTCCATGCTGTAAAACTGATATTGGCTGTGTGTTACTGATTATTTCAGGTGGGTGAGACTGATAACTTGTTGAAACAACATCATGGTGTTTAGCCCCAGAGATTTCAGTCAATGGGGCCCCAGCAGGAGTTGATGTCTGGTTTAGGTCGTTCGGAACTGATGCATCGGATTGTTGTTTAATTCGTGTCAGTGGTGGTTGAACGTTTGGCATAGCAGAGGTAGGAAGTCTCAAATATGTGTCTACGTTGTTTGAATAACTTGGGGGATAGCTAAATGTCGATGGTGTGATTGTGTCATAGGTGTAAGCAGGTTTAGCTGTGCCTTTCACTTGGTCTCCTTTTGGGGAGTGTAAGATCTCTGACTGACTTGGGGAATGGCTAAATGTCGATGCTGTGACTGTGTCATAGTTATGAGCAGTTTTAGCTATGTCATTCACTTGGGTTCCTGTGGGAAAGTGTAAGACCTCTGACTGACTTGGGGAATGGCTAAGTGTCGATGCTGTGACTGTGTCATAGTAATGAGCAGTTTTAGCTATGTCATTCACTTGGGTTCCTGTGGGAACGTGTAAGACCTCTGACTGACTTGGGGAATGGCTAACTGTCGATTGTGTGACCGTGCCATAGTTATAAGAAGTTTTAGCTATGTCATTCACTTGGGGTACGGTAGGAGAGTGTACGATGTTTGATCGCACTTCATCAGGTACATATGCCACAGTTGTGGTACTTTCTGGAATAGGAGTAGTTGATGGGAGTGGCATATCACTTATGGTTATGTTCTTCGTCTTAATTTGAGATGCAGCCAGTTGTTTAGCTAAGAGATTCTTCACCTCTGGTGGAAGATTTAGGGAGGGGGACATAATAGCAATTCCAAGGTTAGATGTGCCTACTTTTTTTGCAAGAGCAGCTAAAGCAGCTTGTATGTTTGCACTTCCAGCAGCTTCAATACTATTGACTGGCTGATAAGAGGAAGCTGTTGTGGGAGGTGTTGTTGTTGTTGGAGTAGTCGTTGTGGTTGTAGTCGTGGTTGTTGTTGTTGTTGGAGTCGTGGTAGTGGTGGTTGTAGTTGTAGTCGTTGTTGTTGGAGTAGTAGTAGTCGTTGTAGTCGTTGTTGTTGTTGTTGGCGTCGTGGTAGTTGTGGTTGTTGTAGTAGCCGTAGTAGTTGGTTGTTGCTGTTTAGGCTCTTGTAGAAGTACAGCATTAATCATTGACATCAATGTCTGTTCCAGCCCTACGCCAGAACTCAGGCTCTTCATCATATCCGCCATTAAGGCTGCGTCGGACAAAACTTTCATTGTTGTAGGAGCAGTCGTTGTTGTTGTTGTTGTAGTGGTCGTGGATGTGGTAGTCGGGGGTGTAATTACGGGTGGCTCGTGCTGTATCCTGAGGGTGTCTAGTAGAGCTCTGAGTGTTCGCTCCAAATTGCTTCCAGGTGAAACTTGTGCTGAAAATAGTATTTGTCTTAAGGCTTCAGCAACGTGGGAGCACATAGGTGCTTATGTAATGAACACAAATATACTTGCTAAGCCGCTCAGATCATTTAACAACATCTAACGTAACTAACTTAACACGAGAAAAAGCAAGGTTATACTATTACCCCAAAGTAGGTTTTGTTTCCAAGAAACATTTGGATGATTTGTTCAAAATGTAGAAGAGATAGCAAGTTACATATTGTCATTTTCATACAATTACCTTTCTCCCCGCAAAGCAGGTGAGCAAATACCAAAGCATATCGAGATTATCATTTTCTGGGATGGTTAATATTCTGCATTAGGAATTAACCATGAATTTAGCAAGACTTGCGAGCGAAATACATAGTGTCTATTCATAATACAGGATATGAAGCATCACATAAGACACACGTGTAGTAACTTCTTTATCATATTTATATCCCCATTGTGTCCTGAATATGTTCTATCGTAAAATAATATCATCATATCTCACAAACGGTATCTAAACATTTCACGTTTTCCTGTAAAGAACATATTGATAAGATTAGTGATTTATCAGTCGCACAGTGACAACATGCAATATAGCTCTAACTGAAACCTGTTTTCAGACAGTGGCGTAACTACATATAGGCAAAATATCAATTGCCCACACATCGATCCGTCCATTAAAGTAATTGGCTTTTATCAAAAAGAGTCTATGAGACGCCACGTCAATTTAAAGATAATTTACAATTCGGAGATATTTCAGCCAAATTATACTGTTTGTTTTGGGGGTTTTTTTTGTAAATTGGAGAAACGACGCCATAACGCAGAGGCCTAAAAGCACAGATATGAAAAGCTATCACGCTGTTGTCCTCGTTAAATTGTTTCTCAATTTTTTTTCTCCAGGTTGCAAAAAAACTTATGAAAATCCTCAACCAAGGGCAGTGGCATGTTTGTTTGTAATATATATATATATATATATATATATATATATATATATATATATATAAATAAACCCAACCGATAACGTTTTCGTACGTTGGCTTTATCTTGCCTAGACACCTCATGTTATGTGATAAATTGTAAATACTAGAGTATGTATCAGAGATAAGTGTACCAGTAGCAAGAGGTGAACCAGGATTTGTGTAAGAAACATCTGCAGGAGGTGCATGTGCAATCGATGCAGAAGGAGCGTGAGTCGTCATTGGAGGAGCCGCAGTGGTCGTTGGAGGAAGGGTCGATGGAGGTGGAAGTGTTGCTGGGGCTGGAGTGGTAGGTGGATCTGAAAATAGAGTATTTGTTTGGATCAGTAAAACACGATAAAATCCCGGGCAAGTTTGTTTTTTGTTTGTGTGTTGTTAACGCCGCACTCAGCAATATTCCAGCTCTATGACGGGGGTCTTTAAATAATTGAGACTGGACCAGACAATCCAGTGTTTGATATCATGAGCATCAATCCACGCAACTGAGATACGATAACATGCGCCAACCAAGCCAGCAATCCCGACCACCTGATCCCGTTAGTCGCCTCTTACAACAAGCATAGTCGCCTTTTACGGCGTGGGTTGCTGAAGACCTATTGCAACCCGGATCTTCACGTGCTTCACGGGGAAGTAACAATACACATTTAATTCCAGTCAACACTTGGATATCATTGTTATGTAGGTCCATACGTCGTAGGGGCGGTCGGATAGCCTAGTGGTTAAAGCGTTCGCTCGTCACGCCGAAGACCCGGGTTCGATTCCCGACATGGGTACAATGTGTGAAGCCCATTTCTGGTGTCCCCCGCCGTGATATTGCTGGAATATTGCTAAAAGCGGCGTAAAACCATACTCACTCACTCACCCATACGTCGTATGCCTTGGGTCTACTAATCCACAATATGGCATAACTGAAAAAAGTACATTTCGAAATTTACCTGTTGAGTCCGGCATCTCATAGGGAGTATCTATCCCCAGCTGATCCATTCTATGAAGCCATGCCACAAATTGTGGCGAGCCTATTGGTGGAGGGTTGTATGGATCTGCAAAAAACATTTTAGCAGTTTACTTAACTTCAAAATTGAATGACATATTTCTTATTCTATCTATTTTATGTGTAACTATTTTCTTTTTTTATTAGCATTAATAATTCATTAATATATCATTAAAATATCATGAATATTTCATTTATATATCTAAGTTTTGCGTTCGTTTTCGACTGGTATTGTATTACATAGTTTATGGTCTTTTAAAAAGGGGGTGGTTTTACGGTTTTACGGTTTTACGGTTTTACTTACCGTTCATTCTGTTGACGCCCATTCCGCCGTACATTCCTCCCATACCACCACCCATTCCATTCATGTGACCCATTCCACCCATATGACCTCCCATTTGGTTCATGCCACCCATATGACCTCCCATTTGATTCATGCCTCTCATTGGACCTCCCATTTGATTCATGCCTCCCATTGGACCTCCCATTTGATTCATGCCACCCACTGGACCTCCCATTTGATTCATGCCACCCATTGGATGCCCCATAGGGTTCATGCCACCCGGGGGACCTCCCATAGGCGAGCTCAACATTCCTGTTCTTCCATTCATGCCTCCCATTCCGCCCATAGGACCCCTCATTGTCCCGCCCATGCCATTCATCCCACCCATTCCGCCATTAGGAACTCCCCCATTCATCCCACCCATTCCGCCATTAGGAACTCCCCCATTCATCCCACCCATTCCGCCATTAGGAACTCCCCCATTCATCCCACCCATTCCGCCATTAGGACCTCCCCCATTCATCCCACCCATTCCGCCATTAGGACCTCCCCCATTCATCCCACCCATTCCGCCATTAGGACCTCCCCCATTCATACCACCCATTCCGCCATTAGGAACTCCCCCATTCATCCCACCCATTCCGCCATTAGGAACTCCCCCATTCATCCCACCCATTCCGCCATTAGGAACTCCCCCATTCATCCCACCCATTCCGCCATTAGAACCTCCTCCATTCATCCCACCCATTCCGCCATTAGGACCTCCCCCATTCATCCCAACCATTCCGCCATTAGGACCTCCCCCATTCATTCCCACTGCATTCATGGCACCATTAGGAACTCCTCCTACGGGATTATTGCTTGTAGGGTATCTAGCCACATTTCCTTGATTACCAACTTGATACTGTGTATTGGAACCACCATTCCCTTGTTGGTTTATTCCTTGACCCTGTTGATTGGGTGGAGTGTTAGTTCCTCCAACGGGATGGTTACTTGGAAGATGTCTAGCTATCTGTCCTTGATTTCCAGCTTGATACTGTGTATTGGACACACCATGTGTTTGTTGTTCATTTGAGACAGCAAACGTGCCCGCACTACTTGGTACCTCCAGGCTTGCAGTATGCGATTGACTTTCTGGGTTACTGCTATAGCCATAATATGCGAGGGTCTTCTTCACTCCCTGTTGTGGTAGTTTTGCTTCGTACTGTACCTGTTGTTGTCCTGATTGTTGCATTGGATTAGAAGGAGCAAGCAGCTGTTGTGTCTGCTGTTGTCCTTGTTGTTGCATTGGGTTTGAAGGAGCGACAGGCTGTTGCATCTGTTGTTGCCCTTGCTGTTGCATTGTATTAGAAGGATATGCAGACTGTTGCATCTGATGTTGTGATTGTTGTTGCATTGGGTTTGAAGGAGCCACAGTCTGTTGCATCTGTTGTTGTCCTTGCTGTTGCATTGTATTAGAAGGATTTCCAGACTGTTGCATCTGATGTTGTGATTGTTGTTGCACTGGGTTTGAAGGAGCCACAGGCTGTTGCATCTGTTGTTGTCCTTGCTGTTGCATTGGGTTTGAAAGAGCCACAGGCTTTTGCATCTGTTGTTGTCCTGGTTGTTGCATTGGGTTTGAAGGAGCGACAGGCTGTTGCATCTGTTGTTGTCCTTGCTGTTGCATTGGATTAGAAGGATATGCAGACTGTTGCATCTGATGTTGTCCTTGTTGTTGCATTGAGTTTGAAGGAGCCACAGGCTGTTGCATCTGTTGTTGTCCTTGCTGTTGCATTGTATTAGAAGGATATGCAGACTGCTGCAACTGATGTTGTGATTGTTGTTGCATTGGATTTGAAGGAGCCACAGGCTGTTGCATCTGTTGTTGTCCATGCTGTTGCATTGGGTTTGAAAGAGCAACAGGCTTTTGCATCTGTTGTTGTCCTGGTTGTTGCATTGGGTTTGAAGGAGCCACAGGCTGTTGCATCTGTTGTTGTCCTTGCTGTTGCATTGTATTAGAAGGATATGCAGACTGTTGCATCTGATGTTGTGATGGTTGTTGCATTGGGTTTGAAGGAGCCACAGGCTGTTGCATCTGTTGTTGTCCTTGCTGTTGCATTGTATTAGAAGGATATGCAGACTGTTGCATCTGATGTTGTGATTGTTGTTGCATTGGGTTTGAAAGAGCCACAGGCTGTTGCATCTGTTGTTGTCCTTGCTGTTGCATTGGGTTTGAAAGAGCCACAGGCTTTTGCATCTGTTGTTGTCCTGGTTGTTGCATTGGGTTTGAAGGAGCCACAGGCTGTTGCATCTGTTGTTGTCCTTGCTGTTGCATTGAATTAGAAGGATATGCAGACTGTTGTAACTGATGTTGCCCTTGTTGTTGCATTGGGTTTGAAGGAGCCACAGGCTGTTGCATCTGTTGTTGTCCTTGCTGCTGCATTAGATTTGAAGGAGCCACAGGCTGCTGCATCTGATATTGTCCTTGTTGTTGCAATGTATTAGAAGGATATGCAGACTGTTGCATCTGTTGCTGTCCTTGTTGTTGCAGTGGGCTTGAAGGAGCCACAGGCATTTGTTTCTGTTGTTGTCCTTGCTGCTGCATTGGATTAGAAGGAGCCAGCAGCTGATGTGTCTGCTGTTGTCCTTGTTGCACTGTATCAGAAGGGTATGCAGACTGTTGTATATGTTGTTGTCCTTGCTGCTGCATTGGGTTTGAAGGAACCACCGATTGTTGCATCTGTTGTTGTCCTTGTTTTTGCATTGGGTTTGAAGGAGCCACCGGCTGTTGTATCTGTTGTTGTCCTTGTTGTTGCAATGTATCAGAAGGGTATGCAGACTGTTGTATATGTTGTTGTCCTTGCTGCTGCATTGGGTTTGAAGGAACCACCGATTGTTGCATCTGTTGTTGTCCTTGTTTTTGCATCTGGTTTGAAGGAGCCACAGACTGTTTTATCTGCTTTTGCATTGGATTTGAAGGAGCCACCGTCTCGTGCGTTAGCAGCATTTGGGGCGATTGTCCACCCTGCGAAAAGCTATTTTGACCTTGCAAAGACGCGATTGAAGAAGGAAGCTGCCCCCTGCCATGGTGTTCCTGGTGGTATGAATTTGGGGCTGCAGGTAGCGAATGTTTCGTTCCACCTGGCTGATCTTGTGCAGTAGGATAGGAAACAGTTCCTGTATTTCGTGATGTCATTATACCATATGGTAGTGTCGACGACTGAGATGACTTAATTTGAAATGAATTCCCACTGGGTATGGCATAGAATGAAGAAGAAGGGATCGGATGCATTTGAGACTGAATATTAATATTAGCAGATGATATTATTGGCAGTCCAGTGGATACCACTGATCCGGAACCTAATTGTCCCTGTTTATTCCACCGGTCTACTGCAGACATGTTTTCAGGAATCACAGGTACATTATTATCAACTGTGGCCATGATGTCTGGAACTGATACATTTGCGATAGCGTGCACTGATTCCTGATTTGTTTGGTGGGAAGAACGTATGGGTGCATCAATTTGTGCATATCCGTTTTTAGTGCTTTTGCTTGTGTCTACTTGATAAATGTCAGCTCCGTGTGGTGAGCCACTGCCAACCCTTATGAAAGCTACGTTTAATCCTTTCTTGCTAGCTGTGGTTGCGTTTCCTACATTGGTGTTATAATATGCTTCGGAGATTGGTAAGGCATGTTCTCTGATTATGCCAGGGCCTTGTGATGGCGACTTTTTCAAAGCTGGAAACGGTGACAGAAAATGACTTGATCTGTCAGGTACGGGTGTGCTAGGTTTGTTAAATTTCACAGGTTCTTGCTTGTGTTGGTTGTTTGCAGAATTAGATGAATATATAACAGAAGGTCCATTAGTACCTCCCCGTATGATAAATCTTCTGTGATTTGACCTTGGTGTGCTAGGAACTTCTTGCGTTCTTACTTGCTGCTGCTGTTGCTGTTGTTGTTGACCGCCAAAGTATGTACCTTTTGTTGCTGTCTGGTCGATCTTGATCGACCTGGACGTTTGGTTTTGTGTCGTATGATGTTCATGTACTTGTTGTTGCTGTTGATTGCTACTTGGATTATGCATTCCAGTGTGTGTGTTATCAGGCACACTTTGTTGGTTTTGACTCGATACATGCTGTTCATTTTGCGTCATGAGACCACGATGAGAAGGTTGTTGTTGTTGCTGCTGCTGCTGCCGTACCTGATTATGTTGCAGAGTCGGTGCTTGATTGGGACCTCTTGTTGACATATGCTGCTGACGAAGATCTGCACGTTTTTGTTGCTGTAGTTGCTGTTGTTGCTGCTTCATCTGACTCTGTGATATTTCTTGCTGACGCAGAGCTGCAATTCGTTGTTGCTGTTGCTGCTTTTCTTGTTGTTGTTGTAGTAGTAGTTGTTGTTGTTGCTGCTGCTGCTGCATCTGATGCTGTGAATGACCTGGACGTATTGTTGACAACTGTTGTTGACGATGAGTTGTACGTTGTTGTTGTAGCTTTTCTATGTGTTGTTCATGCTCCTTCGTCTGACTCTGTGACAGACTCGGTGCCTGATCGGAGCGCCTTGTGGATATCTGTTGCTGATGAAGCGCTAAACGTTTTTGTTGAAGCTGTTGTAGCTGTTGGAGTTGCTGTTCCCGCTCCTTCGTCTGACTCTGTGACAGACTCTGAGCCTGATCGGAGCGCCTTGGTGATATCTGTTGCTGATGAAGCGCTAAACGTTTTTGTTGAAGCTGTTGTAGCTGTTGTATTTGCTGTTCCCGCTGCTTCATCTGCACCTGTGACAGACTCTGTGCCTGATCGGAACGCATTGATGATATCTGTTGCTGCTGAAGAACTGAACGGTGTTGTTGCTGCGGATTGATCTCTGGCAGATTTGTTGTGAAAGACCGTTGCTGCTTTTGTTCCAAGGACCTCTGCCCTTGTGCCGGTAATGTCGTCCTCTGGAGTGACAACCCATTTAGATGTCTGTGTAGATCATTTCTTTGGATTTTATTTTGAACAAACATGGCTGACTGCTGAATCCGTTCCTGATTCCCACTGTTGTTGATATCGTTTGGTGGAGGAGATGAAGCCTTATTCTGGTATAGAACTGTCCCCATTCCATCATAATTTATCTGGCGATTCCTTGCAGATTGTCGTGAGTGGCCTGTACCTCGTGTGCTTGATGGCATGGTACCTCTGCCAGCTATTGCTGGTACTAAATTCATGTTAGGACTGTGTTGCCCTGTTCCTCCTGGTTTCCATCCAGTTGCCTGATGCCTACCTTGTGTTGTGCTTCTAACTGACTGTGTATTGTCCATTGGTTGCAATTGTCTACTAGCCCTCTGTGGTATTGTCTGACCATTTTGTCCTGTGTTCTGTTGTCGGTTTTGGTTTTGATTATATCCTGGAATACAACAGCAATATATCAAAGCAAACGTATGAGTAGCATCCATCACAAACACATGCAAAGGCAAGGCACCTGAAAAGCACGGACACATATGGTGCAAGTCAAAATAGGGAATAGCATCGGATATAATTTTTGTCACTGATGCGTCAAATTTGGAAATGTCAGCATCCATATGTCTACCGTATTTTTTTTAATTGAACGTTTTTACTGAAGCCTTTAATGTTGTAACATTGATCACACAACGACTGAGCAAGAGTCGTATGGCACTCTTTGAAATCTTGGTAGAAAGAGCATGCTCGATTGTATCTCAAACGTTGAACGAATATTGCTCGACGTAGAGGGAAAGTTGTAAATTGGAAGGTTGAAGTCTAGTCAAGAGTGTTTCCTCATTCTGAATCTGTATGGAAAGATCTAAATATGAAACAGATGAGGCGGTGTCACTGGTCTCTATTACTTCTAAAGCACACAAAGCAAAATTCGGGACCGTTTAGGGCAATGCCCCTCATATGATGTACACTACAAGGAGCGTTAATGGGAGTAGATAGATCCATGCTACAGACAGCAATACATGTGTTACTTATGTTATATTTGGGATAACACTTTCTTAGTAAAGTACAGATTCTAGTACTTTTTTGGGTTGAGTCCCGTCCGGGATTCGAACCCACACCTGCCAGGGTGAGGCACCTAATCGCCAGCACACAAAGTCAGCGATCTAACCCACTCAGCCACCGAGGCTTCCACAAAAATGAAAGTCCGACAACTGGTAGTCTAGATCACGTACTTTGAGTACCCCCCTGAGAAGTGTTGCCTGTCAGCGGACGACCATTAGCTACTCCAGGTTTGGGGTATTTTGATAATAAAATGAAATGTAGCTGTTCCCGAAAATGCACGAACAAACATAATTTTCTTCTTGTGTTACAAAAAGAAATAAAATGCACAATACAGATTCTGGATGTGCAGTGGGTCAAAAATACTTGTTTGGCTTGTCTTGGATCATTGACTGATAGGGTACAAGTAGGAGTGTGGTGTCTATCCCGCCTGAAAGGCCACGCGGTAGTCAAAGTGGAACCATTGACGTCATTTATCAACAAACATGCCAGATATCGAAAACAAACTTACTGAAGCCAGGTGTTTGTGCTGAAGCCTCGTTGTGGCTGAGTACCATCAATAGAACAATGAATGCCAACGCAACCATTACGATATCTGAAACGGGAAACAGTTACATGATCAGACTAATAGATGTAGGAGTTATACTCAAACTGCGTCTTGGTTCCATTGCAGACTTACAATGGGTAGATGTCAGATTCGACTGATCGTTGCGATGTAGCAAGAGCTCCAAATTACTAAGTTTAAGGTCATTCAATAGTGGTAATCCTTATTGATAATTACGTTTCAAGTCATACCGAGGGATAATTTGAGGCTGTGACTTATTTGGAATTATAATGTATTTTGACGAAACACAAACACTACGTATTTATAGGGGATTTGATTTTAGATTTATGGGTGTAAATGAGTATTCAATGCCTGGAAAGTAAGTAATATTTCAGGTTTCAAATCCCATTTAACAATGCTTTTTAACAAATTGCAGCACATACTCCCATGTATTGTACAATGTGTCTTTGTACGTTTATTCACAGAAGAACCTTGCTTCATGACATAATTAATAAAAGAGCTCTTTCAATTAATGTGGGTTGGTTTTTTTCTAATATCTGTACATGTATTTCAAATAACGTCACAGTACACATGTATGACGTTACAACATCATCATCCAAGAGGTTGAGAAGTTAAAGATCTGCCAATCCCTCGTGTTGAATGAACACAAAATGCAAGTAGTTTGTTCTTCTTTAACACAAACATAAATCATCCCAAATGACAAATATACATGCACTTTAATGCCATGCTGGTTCACGTGAGATTCCATTCAGCCATCAAGATAAACCAGATCAACGATCTTTTACCATGACAACCGTTTCTGAATATGAAAATGGACACATTTAATAATGAAAAAAAGAAATCTTTGGCCCATTTACACATATTATCAAAATAAACACGGGTACATACATAGTGATTGTCTTAAACGAGTCCTCACATGCAGCTCCATTTCCCAAACCTGCCACAATGGTGATCCAAAAGTCTACTCCGTATTTACATGGTGTATCCCTAACCAACTGTCCGTCTCCTTCTCCTCCATATGGGGAGTTTTTCGCAGCAGTGGGATTGTCCTTTTTTGGTCGATAAATCACGCCGCGTGACAGATTGTAATTAAACGGGCGACGGCCATCAATCAGACGAAGCAGACAAACAACAATATCATGGTTTAGGTCGTTGATACAACTCGTTTGCATTCGGTAATATTTTGTCTTTTGTGTTCTAATTTTTGTTTCAACAGTTCTTGTGGGTAACCTATGAACTCTTCATCAGCTAGGATACTAAAAATACATATAAGCCCAGTTTTAGAATCTACACTATAAGTGGTTAGAATTGTAATCAAGAAGCTGATCATACATATCATCTTGTCATCAGCTTCAATTTTGGAAAAATCATTTTCATTGTCAAAAAAATGTGTTTAAATCAAGCCTTTCCGTTGTCATGACCCACCTTTCAGGTTTCAGTATCTTAATTCTTCTTACATCAACCATTGCTTTCAACTTGTCAGACTCCTGTGTCATGGTTGTGCATTTAATTAAGGGGCATACCATATAATATTCTGACAGAGACAGAATACGTTTAGGCACTGGTTTAAAGCGTACACATATGCATGTTTTATTTTCGCGAACACCTTGTTCCTTAACACGTTGGAAGTGATTAATAAATGAAAGCGACAAACCTTATTCATAATAATAAGACATCGCAGCGAGAAACAGAGATCACTATACGATTTTGACTTCATCATTGGACGGTGGCGTTAGTCTAGTGGTTGAAGCGTTATCGTCACGCCGAAGGCCCGGGTTCGATTCCCCACATGGGTACAATGTGTGAAGCCTATTTCTGGTGTCCCCTGTGATATTGCAGGAATATTGCTAGAAGCGGTGTAAAACCATACTCACTCACTCTATCATAAGGATATGTTCATAAATCACCATCAAATAGTGATCATACCACATGTTCGCGAAAAGGTAGGCGTATACCACCGGTGTCACAAACACATGCAATGACAAGGCAGGTGTTCACCTAAAATGATCGATTGGTTGTTGCTTTTGTAGCTATAAAGTTGAAATCACAGATCATCACGCCCATGTTGCAATATGATGCTACATTCTGGAGTCAATTGAACATCGCTATTCAACACTGCATACATTCAGATATACACCACCTTGGGAATTATATATATTCACGATGGATGTTTGCCTCCTGCCATATGCATGGTGAGTGAGTGAGTGAGTATGCTACTACGCCTCTTTTAGCAATATTCAAGCAATATCACGGCGGGAAAACTAGAAATGGTCTTCACACATTGTACCCATATGGAAAATAGAACCTGGGTCTGTGTCGTGACGAGCGAACGCTTAAACCACTAGGCTACCCTACCCTATGTTATAAATGGTAACATAGTTTCATTCTGTAGTATATAACAGGTAACATAGTTTCAAAGAGTGACATATGCATGGTAACATAGTTTTGACTGATACCATAGTTTCATTCTTTATATAAATTCAGAGAAATTGAATAGATTTGTTGCACAATATGAACTCAGTGCTATGAGCGTTTTATACATGGAATATGAAAGGTAACGAGACACACCTATGCAACACTTTAATGGGGGACGTTTATTGGGGAAGAAGGAAATGTCAAATATGTTATTTTTAGTGTGTGTTTGTAAGAGCATTACTTTGTGCAATGGCACATCATTGATTTGTTATTATAATGATCATTGGGTGTTTTGGAAGGGCCCGTGATTTCGTAAAACAAAACTTTGTTCAAGAAAATACCAGAAAAAATCATTTTGCTTCATGTTTAAAAAAAGAGAAAAATAAGAAAAAATGTTCGCTGGACATACTGGTTGTACTGAAAAAATGAAACAAAACTTGTTCTGCTCCCCCTGACCTAGAAGAAAAACTTGATGTTTTGAAACAGAAACCAAAAAATGTTCCGTCCCAAACGTATGATCTTAAAAGGCATATCTATAAAAAAAATATATAAATACCTCACTACCCTTATCAAATATTAATGCAATCGAATTACAACAATGGCACACGCCACAAACACCTGCAAAGGCAAGTCACTATATTTTCAAATTTTACTGTTTACGGAAAGATAATAATAAAACTGCATATGTAACAACCACGTCTACAAATTCATTTACGTTTCAACTTGACATCTGAGTTACAGCTTGATCCTATTTATCGTGAATCGTGACCACGTGGAATATGTGTGCAGATTTATGATATTTATACCAAAAAAAATTAATTTTGGACGACATTAATTGGTTCAAGACAGACAAAATCCCAGCTTGATAGCTCTGCGTCACGAAAGAGCGAAAACAAAATGGATAAGCTTCACACGTCATCTGTCAACGTCAATTTGATTGATTCTACTGGTTTTTTTAACTTAATTTAATATATATTTCCGTGACTTCATGTCATAACGTGACATATGATCCCTTTGTATCGTTCTTTGGGGCTTCTTTTATATGCTCAGACTCGCATTCGTTAGTTATTACCGAAATGGTCTGAATCAATATATACTAAAATAAAACATATCTACAAAAGGTACGCCTCTGTTGAGCATGTCGGAAGCAGGGTTACAGATAACTTTATGTGGAGTTTTGTCCCTGTCAGCAGATGAAATTAAAGATAATATCATTTTTAGAAGTAATAACTGATGTCCTTTTCATACTATGAAATTCATTATACTGACATCTGCAGCAAAAAAGACATCGAGTCATTATTCAATAAATCAAAATGTACTTTCTGATAGTTCATGTCATCACAATGGTAAATATGCTTTAATGAGTAAAACTTTAATTGCATTTACTCTCTCTCTCTCTCTCTCTCTCTCTCTCTCTCTCTCTCTCTCTCTCTCTCTGTGTAGGTATGTGTGAGTGAGTGAGTGCATCTCTTTGTTGTTTAACGCCCTACTTAACAATATTCCATCTATATGCGATAGCCTGTAGGTATGATCGAATATTGACCAAACAATCCAGTGACTGAAATTGTTAGCAACGATCTACGTCATCAACCAAGCAAACGAGTCTGAACACCCAATCCATTAACACGCAACCAGAACATATTTGTTGCTAATGACCAATTCGCAACCGGAATCCCAACGTTCTCTTACGACCAGCAATAGGGTGTCTTTGTCACGACCAGCAATAGGGTGTCCTTGTTACGACCAGCAATAGGTTGTCCGTGGTGGACCAGCAATAGGGTGTCCTTGTCACGACCAGCAATAGGTTGTCCGTGGTGGACCAGCAATAGGGTGTCCTTGTCACGACCAGCAATAGGTTGTCCGTGGTACAACCAGCAATAGTGTGTCCTTGTCACGACCAGCAATAGGTTGTCCGTGGTACAACCAGCAATAGTGTGTCCTTGTCACGACCAGCAATAGGTTGTCCGTGGTACAACCAGCAATAGTGTGTCCTTGGCACGACCAGCAATAGGTTGTCCGTGGTACGACCAGCAATGGGGTGTCCTTATCACGACTAGCAATAGGTTGTCCGTGGTACGACTAGCAATACGTTTTCCGTGGTACGACCAGCAATGGGGTGTCCTTGTCACGACCAGCAATAGGGTGTCCTTATCACGACCAGCAATAGGTTGTCCGTGGTACGACTAGCAATACGTTTTCCGTGGTACGGCCAGCAATGGGGTGTCCTTATCACGACTAGCAATAGGTTGTCCGTGGTACGACTAGCAATACGTTTTCCGTGGTACGACCAGCAGTGGGGTGTCCTTGTCACGACCAGCAATAGGGTGTCCTTGTTACGACCAGCAATAGTTTGTCCGTGGTACGTCCAGCAAAAGGTTGTCCGTGGTACGACCAGCAATAGGGTGTCCTTGTTACGACCAGCAATAGGTTGTCCGTGGTACGTCCAGCAAAAGGTTGTCCGTGGTACGACCAGCAATAGGGTGTCCTTGTTACGACCAGCAATAGGTTGTCCGTGGTACGTCCAGCAAAAGGTTGTCCGTGGTACGACCAGCAATGGGGTGTCCTTGTCACGAGCAGCAATGAGGTGTCCTTGTCACGAACAGCAATGGGGTGTCCTTGTCACGAGCAGCAATGAGGTGTCCTTGTCACGAACAGCAATGGGGTGTCCTTGTCACGACCAGCAATGGGGTGTCCTTGTCACGACCAGCAATGGGGTGTCCTTGTCACGACCAGCAATAGGGTGTCCTTGTTACGACAAGCAATAGGTTGTCCGTGGTACGACCAGCAATGGGTTGTCCTTGTCACGACCAGCAATGGGGTGTCCTTGTCACGACCAGCAATGGGGTGTCCTTGTCACGACCAGCAATAGGGTGTCCTTGTTACGACAAGCAATAGGTTGTCCGTGGTACGACCAGCAATGGGTTGTCCTTGTCACGACCAGCAATAGGTTGTCCATGGTACGACCAGCAATGGGTTGTCCGTGGTACGACCAGCAATAGGTTGTCCGTGGTACGACCAGCAATAGGGTGTCCTTGTTACGACCAGCAATAGGTTGTCCGTGGTATGACCAGCAATAGGTTGTCCGTGGTACGACCAGCAATGGGGTGTCCTTGTCATGACCAGCAATAGGGTGTCTTTGTCACGACCAGCAATAGGTTGTCCGTGGTACGACCAGCAATGAGGTGTCCTTGTTACGACCAGCAATAGGTTGTCCGTGGTACGACCAGCAATAGGTTGTCCGTGGTACGACCAGCAATGGGGTGTCCTTGTCACCCACGATCATAAGGTAATGGCATACGTCAGGGAAGCAATTCTACACAGAAAATGGCTTCACCTTACCTGACTTGGTCACCCTTGGCCCCGTTAATGTAATAATATGATGACATTCTTAAATAAGTATTTAGAACTTTCTGATTGTTTTAAATCATTTTATGTTAGCCTTCAAATATGTGTAACGAATGTGAATAGTGTACGAAACCTTCTATTGACACCTATTCGACTATCTAAAAAACGTGGCTTACCTGAGATATGCCAAACGACGTTTTGAGTTGGTGCGAGATTTTTAGCGGGATAGGAGTTTAAGGGATAGGTCGACCTTGCTCT